TACGACCGCGAAAGCGGCCCGGAGCGACAACAGCGAGGGGCGGCGCGTAAGGTTCCGCTCGAACTTCTCCCCACCCCCGGATTAAAGACGACGATCTCCTGGACAGTTTCGGTGTCCAGATGAGACTGTGTCCTTCCAGTGAACGCGCGTTTCCCCTTCTCTGCCCGCAGCAACCCCCGCTCTGCTTACTTTCGTAAAATCTGAGAGCAGAACGCAAACATTTGCATGATTTAGTCCTCTCCAGGTGTTACGTGGATGGTGGCCCCGAGAAGAAACCGAGCCCCTGAAATTCCTTAAAGTCGCCCAGATGTGGCCCACCTCGCGTTACAGAAGACGAGGGCGTTAAAGCACATGCTCTATGATGGTCGAATATCCTCAGAAGACTGTCCCAGCGGCCCCGGTCCTCTCCCGTCCGAGATGCAGGCCCTGAATCTGCCTGCTGCCCTGCTGGTTCTCGGCTGTCCCGGTCGGACTCTCAAGGTCTCTGGGGGCCGCCTGGCCCCATCCCACACACGCCAGTAAAGGCGGGGAAAAGGGGATACAACCGGCCCCTCCTTTGCGTCCTAACCCCAAAGCTCTGGGATGCTAACCCGCCACCACAAAGAGGCAGGCAGCTGAGGGCAGGGAATGGGATTTCCAGGGAATTCGTCATAAATCTTCCACCTGCCCCCATGAGGGGCCTCGGGCATCTTCTCAAGTCCAGCTCCAGGACACTCGTCCTATCTGTAAACGTGTGAAAGATCCTCCAGGTAAGAGATCATTTTTCTCCAGCAACCCATGGTGCAGGGATCAAGGGTGAGTGAAAATGTGCATGCTGAATTAATAGCAGGTGTCTGTTTAGAATAAATTGGCAGAATTTCACTTCTTGCCCCCGAATATGAACTTGCACGGCAATCCGTAAATAAAAGGGAAATAACTTGCTCAGGCTGCTGTAACAGAAAATAGCACAGACTGAGGGGCTTGTAAACATCAGAACATTACTGCTCACAGTTCTGGAGGCTTGGAAAGCACCCTTGTGGTTGCCTTCCGGTGAGGGCCCTCTTCCTGATCCGTTGATGTGTCCTCACCCAGTGGGAGCCAGTAGGGGTCTCTCTGGAGCTGTTGGTAAGGTGTTAATCTCATCATGAAGGCCCCTTCCTTATGACTTAAGTACCTCCCAAGGGTCCCACCTCCTAATATCACATAGAGGATTAGGATTTCAACATAAGAATTGGGGGGGCAGGGCACAAACATTCACTTCGTAGCAGTAACTAAATGTTAATTCTCAAATTACGAACCCTGAGTATGTAACAGACAGACATCAGTCCTTTTTCCCAGGGTGCTTTCCCCAGACTAACCTAATGGAGGAGACATGTTCCTAATGATTTCAAGAGTCTGGGTACGGGGGCGCCCAGATGGCTCAGTCAGTTGAGCATCTGAGCATCAGACTCTTGGTTTTGGCTCAGGGCATGATCTCATGGTTCGTGAGTTCGAGCCCCACGTCAGGCTCTGTGCTGACGGTGTGGAGCCTGCTGGGGATTCTGTGTCTCCATCTCTGTCTGCCCCTCCCCTGCTCTCTGTCTCTCTCTCTCTCTCTCTCAAAATAAATAAACATTAAAGAAAAAAAAAGAGCCCACGTAGGTAATAGGAATGAATGAAATAACTTCTTGATAGAGCACATGGCCTGTCTTAGAAGCTGCCGTGCAGACCTGGCATTGCCAGATCTCCCTATGTTTTCCAAGAAAAGCCCAAAATGGAGATTTTCATGTGACATTTGTCCGTGTTAAGTGTTGGCTCAAGTTTTCAAAATGGTGCAGGCAGGTGGAGTAAACCGCACGTGGAGGTAAGCATTCATAGGCTCCAGCCTGATGGCCCAGCTATTCTGCAGCGTCACAGCTAAGAGCTGAAAACTAAAATCCTACATAAGCACCACCCACACCTCCCGCCCCCATCGGAGTCTGAAATCTGCTGTCCCTCCCAAGGAAGTCTCGTGGTTACGTGGTTTGCGTATGCAGATGATCACAAGATAATAACCATTCAGAATGTCCAGGCTCTTCTCCCAGGAAGTGAATCGCCTCGTCTGGGATGATCTGTGGACTGGCTGCTCTTGTCGAGATCATACCAGCTGGTGGTCAGTGTGGTTGGCTGACTTGCCCGACCACCAGACCGCTGCCCTTAATCATGGTCAGTTCTCCGTCCCACTGAGACAACCCTGAGCCTCGGCCACTAGTCCAAGTTTGCACGTACATACGTTGATCCCTCTATAATTAAAAATACCAGATGATAGTTTGCTGATCAAGAAACAGAGCACGTATTCACCCACGCACCAAGCCCTGTGCTAGATACCGTGGGAGAGACAAAACTTTAAGACACGGACCCTGCCCTTAAGGAGCTTACGTTCTCGTGAGGGAGACGATGCGTATACGTGTAGCAGCTGCAACGGTACGAGACGATATATAATTTGGTGTAAGAGTACGTTGTACGCACTCGAGGGATTCAAAGAAAGACCATGGAGTAGGCCTTAGAGTCCAGATTTCTTGAGAAGCCGGGAACAGGACCAGGCCTTGAAGAGACTTAGGTTCCCAATAGGCAGAAATGGGGGCAGGGTTCAGAGGGAGACAGACACTGTGCTTTTGATACGGGGGTTAAGAAGTCACCATGAGGGGCGCCTGGGTGGCGCAGTCGGTTAAGCGTCCGACTTCAGCCAGGTCACGATCTCGCGGTCCGTGAGTTCGAGCCCCGCGTCGGGCTCTGGGCTGATGGCTCGGAGCCTGGAGCCTGTTTCCGATTCTGTGTCTCCCTCTCTCTCTGCCCCTCCCCCGTTCATGCTCTGTCTCTCTCTGTCCCAAAAATAAATAAACGTTGAAAAAAAAAAAAAAAAAAAAAAAAGAAGTCACCATGAATTTCTGAGCAGAGAAGGGGCTTGTGCATATTAAAGTTCAACAACTTTAATGCAAACTCATAAAATGCGCCAGTAGCTGAGGGGATGTCCCATAGCGCCGAGATCCCTGGCGGGATCGTGACCGGCGACAGGGATGGCACTCACCTGTCAAATGCAGGCTGTCAGGGAGACACGACAATTCCAGGGAGCCCCTTACCCAGCGGCTCAGTTATTTCCTAATTTCCACAGACTCCAGACAGAGCGAGGGCTTTGCTGCCAGGATCTGGGACTTGGGTGCTCTCTGCTTAGAGACCACACCAAAGGATGAAAGATATTAGGATCCAGGCAGGTACGGAAAAGAACATGTGTGGAAGAGAGAAGTGAAAGAAATCCATTGTGCAGAAAACACCCCAAAACGCATAGAAAATGTTTCTCCTGGTCAGGTGCAACTTACACATCCATTTGTTTTAAATGAATGTCTACTGTATTTCTACAACAAACGGACTTATTAGTGCTTTTCAGTGTCACTGGTAGAACCCAGGAGTCCCTTCAATTATATGTGTCGGGTAAATTGGGCACAAAATTCCATATACTGCGTATCGATTCCCACTTTCGGTTGACATGCATTACAAAAAGCAGGGTGGTCTGTAAGAATCAAGACGGAGAGGAAAGCTGGACAAGTGAGAATTTTCCTTGTGCCCAGGCAAGCGGGGGTCAGGTGACAATGTCGGTGACTGGCGTCACCACTGCCCAGGACACGTCGGAGGTGCAGACCAGCATCCTGGGAATTCTCATCCCGTAACACCACGGAAACGAAAATCCCGCGGCAGACCGCAGTTAGGCCACAGACTCAAAATCTGTTCCTGTTTTACCATCACTGATACGTACAGACATTCCCTACTAAGATGAACAGTGAATAGATCCTAGGATCACAGTTTTACCACAACAGCTCCGGGAACGGGATAACTCAAAGTTAGCTAACGGAAAACAAAATTAGAGACGTCTATTTTGAGACCCGAGATAAGGAATTTCTAAGACCCTAATTAAATTTGAGCTTTCTTAAACAAAGACATGACAAAATTTGAGAATCCTATATGGATTGTACATTCTAAGACTAGCATTTCAAGATTTTGTTTTTTTTTTTAATTTTTTAATTAAAAAACATTTTTTTAATGTTATTTTTGAGAGAAAGAGAGAGAGAGAGAGAGAGACAGAGCGTGAGTGGGGGAGGGACAAAGAGAGGGGAAAACACAGAATCTGAAGCAGGCTCCAGGCTCTGAGCTGCCAGCACAGAGCCCGACACGGGGCTTGAACTCATGAACTGTGAGATCGTGACCTGAGCCAAAGTCAGACACTTAACTGCCTGAGCCACCCAGGTGCCCCTCAAGATTTTGTTTTCTAATCACTTAGGGAAAAAAGCAGTCCCATTAACCCACATTCCATAAAATTGCTACAACCATAAAGTTACGGACACCATGTAGAACATGTGTGTTAAATCCCATCACTTCCTCCTGTTCTGTTTAGAGATATTACTATCTACTTCACCATGTGAAAATCCCCACCTAGGGTGTCGATTACGTTTTTTCTTTTTTTTTTAAATTTTTTAAACATTTATTTATTTTTGAGAGACAGAGCGTGAGTGGGGTAGGGGCAGAGAGGGGAGAACACAGAATCCGCAGCAGGCCCAGATTCTGATCTGTCAGCACACAGCCCGGTGCAGGGCTTGAACTCATGAACCGTAAGACCACGACCTGAGCCGAAGCCGGACGCTAAGCCAACTGGGCCACCCACATGCCCCCTACATGCTATGTATTCAAAGTATGTGCAATGATCTCTTTTCTAGGGGTGTCCGTTTCGTTCCTCTGGGCTCTCAACAGCTTAGACCGTGTGAGCGCAAACCCGCTGGGACCCAGGGAGATGAATGTTCTGGACAGTTTTTATGCCATCACAGGCATTAAGTCCCTGCTCCTCTGGACCCTGTCTGATTTCTACCTGATTGTGACGGTCAACCAGATACATGGCTCCGAAAAGCTTCTCAGCTTTTCCTGAAACAGAACGACAGAGTTAACCAGCTGGAGACCCGTGGGCCCCTGCCTGACGGGCACCTGTTCATCTGCCTCCACAGTCAACATTCCAGGCCTCAGAGGGCTCTTCCTGTTGTTTTCCAAAAGGGCGGCCGTGACAGGTCCTGGCCCGGCTGTTTCTTGGTGGAGAGACTCAAGCGGAGAAAATACGACGCCACACGAGCCCGCAGCCGGCCCTCCTGCCACTAAATTCCCGCTGCTACGAGAACCCCCACCCCACCCTCTCTTCTCAGCTCATCTGACCACTTGCAGTTTTGCAAAACCCAGACGGAGGACGAACGGTCTGCACAGAACCCGATCTTCCTGCTGGAGCCACGTCGTGCACGAGGACCACGGACGCCGGCCACAGCGCGTCCGCCACACGCGTCCCACGTTGAGACGGAATCCCGGCGGACGCCGCGCCGACCCCGGAGGCGCCCGGGAGGAGCGCGGGCCTGCACGAGCACCTCGTGATTCAGCGGATCGCACACAAAAGCTCGGATTCAGCGAGAGCGAGACGGAATTCAGTTTTATTTTGTCCTCTCTGAAACCTCCATTTACCCCACGGTCTCGTCTGTCAAAGAGGAGGAGGAGGGGAGGCTGAGCCCCACGCCACACGGCTCCGGCCTCCCGCACCTGCTCGCGAGCGGCGGCGGCTTTGTGTCTCCAGTTGTTTGGCTCCGAGGGGTCGCGCTTTCGGGCCGGCGTGGCGAGAAGCCGCTGGCCGACCGCCCCCGGCGCCTGCTGGGTTCACTAGTGTACCATTTCATAAAGTGCTTCTGGAGTTGAGCTCTGCCAAGCCGTCAAGTGTCCGCGCTTTTGCAACACAAAGGATAAAACAACCCCCGCGGGTGCGTCACCGAGTCCTTCCCAGCCGGTCCCATTATCGGCGCTGCTGCTCTAACCGCCGAGGCGCTGGCCCTCGCCCCACGCGAAGCCTCCGGGCCGCTCTTCGGGTAGCGGATTGTAATTTGGGTCCTCATCTGGCGTATCGAAAATAGCCTTCCTGAAAGGCAACAGGGGTCATTTAGTCCCAGAGTCCCGGCAGGACCCGTCCCGCGGGGCCTCCGCCAACGGACAAACATCTCCGCCCGCCAAGCAGACACTTCTCACGCTGTGGAAGTTTTCACGATTATTTCACGTTTACATTAACTTTTACTTCCCAGACCCCCCTTTTTTTTTTTTCTAATTTTTTAAATGTTTGATTTATTTTTGGGACAGAGAGAGACAGAGCATGAGCAGGGAAAAGGCAGACAGAGAGGGAGACACAGAATCCAAAGCAGGCTCCAGGCTCCGAGCTGTCAGCACAGAGCCCGACGTGGGGCTCGAACCCACAAATCTTGAGATCCTGACCTGAGCTGAAGTCAGACGCTTAACCGACTGAGCCACCCAAGCACCCTCTTTTTTTTTTTTAACTACAAATGCAATAAATGCTAATTATAAAGAAAACAAAAAGTATATATAAATATCCTAAATCTCCAGAATCGTGGTTAATGTTCTCATTATTCTTGCAGAACTTTTATACGTACGCTTTTACAAAAATTAGGTCACACTATTTATTTTGTAACCTGATTTTCACTAAGTTTATTATGAATGTCTCCCCACCACCAAGGTACCACCCAGTATCCAGTGATGGACAGACAGACAAAATCACAGAGGAATGTTATTCAGCCTTAAAAAGAAAGGAAATTCTGACACCTGCTACGATGTGGATGAACCCGGAGGATGGCCTGTCACAAGGGACAAATGGTGCACGCACCCACGCATACAAGGAACCCGTGGCCCAGGTCATGATCTCGAGGTTTGTGGGTTCGAGCCCCGTGTCGGGCTCTGTGCTGACAACTCAGAGCCTGGATCCTGCTTCGGATTCTGTGTCTCTCTCTATGCCCATCCCTTGCTCACGCTCTGTATCTCTCTCTTCTCTCTCAAAAATAAATAATCATTAAAAAAATTAAAAAAAAAAAGAATTAACCATTAAAGCAGCATCCACTATTTACATTCATATTTCTGATTACACTTACCCCACAGCTGACAAAATTAGAAATGTATCTGGAAACTTCTGTTTTATATTGGGGTCAGAAAAAAGCATCTATATTTCAATGTGAGCTTCTTTAATTCTTACAAATTAACAAAAAAAGAGAATAATTCTTACAAATTAACAATGAAAGCAAACACCCAGCAGTAGAAAAATATAGGGCTAAAAAGGCCATTCAAGAAACCCAAATGGCCAATAAACATGAAAAGGTTTGCTTTCCTGATAAAAAGGAAGCATGTTAAAAGCCGAGACACTTCTACTTTCCGAACGTTAACAGGACAGAACAAAGTAGGTGTCCTTGCAAGGAAGAGGAACCATGGTGGCCCAGGGCGACACGGGGATTTCAGGAACATCCTGGCACAGGGAGTCGAAATTCCAACCGGGGCGTGCACGCACAGAGGGGCCGGTACAGGGTGGCAAAGCCTGAGTTGGGTCAAGAGGACGTTCCCGTGAGACAGAGGCTACCACAGGGGGCCGAGGCAGAGCAGGATGAACAAGGCATCCACATGGAGGGTGAGGGGCACGGCGATGCAAGACTGGTTACGTGTGGGGTTCTCTAAATAGTAAATACATTCATGATAATAGGAGTCAGGTTCGGGGCGCCTGGGTGGCTCAGTCGGTTGGTCAAGGCACGATCTCACAGTTCGTGTGTTTGAGCCCCACATCGGGCTCTGTGCTGTCAGTGCAGAGCCCGCTTTGGAACTTCTGTCTCCCTCTCTCTCCCTCCCAAAAATACACTTAAAAAGGAGAAAAAAAAAAAAAAGGACAGCTCCTCACCGTCCATGTGAATAGGGAACCACGGAAAAGACTGGTACGTTCACAGGGCAGAACACCACGCAGCAAAAGAAGGAACTGATTCCCAATACGTGCAACGATGGAGATCAATGTCAAACACGTTCGAGTGAGTGAAAGCGGCCTCACACAAAGGAGTAAGTGCACACAAACCGTGTTGACACCACTCCTGAAGCCGCGGGGCACGCAGAGCTGACCCCTGTGCCCCGTCCCCGCTCACGTGCACACGTGCTCTCTCTCTAATAAGTAAACGTTTAAGAACATCATAAAAACAAGGCCACCTTGCAGCTGTCCACGTAAGAAAAGGCAAACACAATACTCCCACGTTCGACAAGGCTGTGGGGAAACGGAAGCTTTGCCCTGCCGACGGACACGTAGACTTGGATCCGTTCTGGATGGCGACTCAACAACAAACAAATGGGAACGCACCCTTGGAAAACGACCACGGATGTGAGCCACACCAAGCGCGGGAGGGAAAAGCAACCACTAATGTCGCCGTCTATCCACAGGGATGCAAAGGAAACCATACCGCCTGTGGACCACACGCTATCACGCGGCTGTTAGTTTTGTAGGACGTTTGTGATGGGAAAATGAGGACGACTTATTACACTGAAAAGGTTACGAAATAGCATTTTTAAAAAGTGCAGACAGTTAAAGACTGAAGAATATGTATCACAACGTCAACAATGACAGCCAGGGTTATGGCTGAGTGGTAGGACTACGTAGGACTTGACTCTTTGTTTTGCTTAACTATTCTACAACCAACGTTTTATACATACACACACACATATATATGGTTTTTTTTTGAGAGAGGGAGAAGGTGCAAGTGAGTGAGGGGCAGAGAGAGGGAGACAGAAGTTGGGCTCACTCGAAGCAGGGCTTGAACCCACAAACTGAGATCATGACCTGAGCCCAAGTCAAATGCTTAACCGACTGAGCCACCCAGGCGCCCCCAACATCTGATTAAAAATTCACATTTTACTCATCAGGTGGACCCTTTTATTTTATTAAAAAAAAATTTTTTTTAACGTTTATTTATTACTGAGAGACAGAGAGACACAGAGCGTGAGCAGGTGAGGGGTAGAGAGAGGGGGAGACACAGAATCCGAAGCAGCTCCAGGCCCTGAGCTGTCAGCACAGAGCCCGATGCGGGGCTCGAACTCACAAACTGCGAGATCATGACCTGAGCCGAAGTCGGTCGCTTAACCAACTGAGCCCCCCAGGCGCCCCTCAGGTGGCCCCTTTTAAATGCCATATGTGTCAAGGACACAACTTTCTGGAGTAGAAAAAGGTCTTACAAATCAAAGCTCTATTCTCAGGAGAGGAAAGTGCAAAACACAGGAGGACTTTTGTTTTTGAGATTTCTTTAAAGTCGTCTCTACACCCCACATAGGGCTCGAACTCACCACCCCGATAGCAGTCGCACACTCCCCCAACTGAGCCGGCCGGGCACCCCCAACGGGGGACTGTGTTAATGTCACACAGCTGGCCGGCGGAACAGCCTGCACCGGGGTTGCAGTCCGGCTTGCTCCTTCTCTCTCTACTCATCTTACTTTCTGGAAGGCCAGAAATATCACCCCTAGAAACTTCCTTGTGGCCAGTTTTGCCCACTTTGCCACCTCCCCTCCGTAAGCCCAGACAGCAGCTGTCCCGGACACCAGCGGGCCCCCCTTGGCACAGGAGGCGCGGGTGGCCTTCGGCACGCCACCCTCGGGCCGTCCCGAGCCCGCTGACCTTGCTCCTGCCCACCTCGGGCACCACCTCTGGCCCGATCGACACGCTCTTCAGCCGCAGCCAGGGGCTCAATCTGCAAATACTTACTGTCCTTAGGACCTCCGGGAGCCCCCCAAGAACACAGATCGCGGACCCCGTCCCGGTTTCTCTGCGAGCAACACGCAACCCAGTGGCGAATACTCACAAGATAGATGGTGTTTTCAGAATTCTGATTCCACCAGGCTGATTGGGAAATACGTCTTCCAAGAAAAAGTAGATGTGTCCAACCGCAATGCCTAGAATCCCCGAGAAAGGAAGAATGAGGGGAGGACCCCCGACAGACCGCACGCGTTTAGGAAACGTCGGTACAATTAATAAACGCTAAAAAACTAAACATTGCTGGGGGGGGGGGTCTTGGAGCGCATGACCATAACACTGTCCTGTACGAGCGAGGGCTGGACCGCAGACGCGAGAAGGGTGGCTACGGAGGGCACACGTAAAGTAACAGCAGTGGCGAGACTCACCCAGGAGGTCCACGATGACAGAGTTCCCCAACAACAGCGAGAAGCCCATGAGCACCCACGGCAGGAAGGGGGCCTGGAAGTTGAGAAGGCCGAAGAAGTTCATGCGGACGTACGGGTTCCTTCGGCTCCACACGTACACGAGCATTATGGTGAAGGCCTGGCCCAGGAAAACCAGACTCACGAACAGCCCAAAGAGCTAGCACACGGCGTCAAGGAAAAGGTCAGCGTCAGAAGCGTGACAGGGAAGGCTGAGCGCCAGGACAAAGAGCTGTGCTCTAACGGGTCTGCGTCACGGAGCTCCAATGGTACTTCGGCCTTTCGAGGGGGGGAGGAAAAAAAAGCCTAAAAACAATTACCCAGAGCGACCAGGCAAAAATCTGCGTGGGCCAAAACTCCTCCAGGGTAGCTGCTTCCATGTCCATGGACACTTCTGTGTCCATGAAGTTCTCCGCTGTTTGGAAAATATATTAGTTCCTTGGTCAATAATTACATGAAATTTCACTCGCCATCAGCACCTTTATGAGGTGAGTAGAGCCAACTGGGGCCAAAACCACCTTGTCAGACAGGATGGCGTTCTATTATACCCGTGACAATAGTTTTTTGGGTTTTTTTTTTAAATAATAATTTATCGCAATGCCTGGGGGGCTCAGTCGGTTGAGCATCTGACTTCAGTCAGCCCAGGTCACGATCTCACGGTTCATGAGTTTGAGCTCCACATGGGGCTCTCTGCTGTCAGCAGAGAGCCTGCTTCAGATTCTCTGTCCCCTCCTCTCTATGCCCCTCCCCTGAGCTTGCCCCTCCCTGGGTGGCTCAGTCGGTTAGGCATCTGACTTCGGCTCGGGTCATCATCTTCTCGTTTGTGGGTTTTGGCCCATGTATGACTTTCTGTGCTGACAGCTCCAGGCCACCAGGCCTGCCCGGACTCTGTGTCTCCCCCTCTCTCTGCCTCTTCCCCGCTCAAGCTCTGTCTCTGTCTCTCAAGAATAAATAAACGTTAAAAAACTCAAAAAAATAAAAATAAAAATAAACAAAATTAGGGGTGCCTGGGTGGCTTAGTCGGTTAAGCGTCTGACTTCGACTCAGGTCATGATCTCGTGGCCTGTGAGTTTGAGCCCCGCGTCGGGCTCTGTGCTGACAGCTTGGAGCCCGGAGCTTGCTTTGCATTCTGTCTTCCTCCCTCTCTCTGCCCCTTCCCCCCCCCCACTCTATCTCTCTCCTTCAAAAATAAACATTTAAATTTTTTAAATTAGAAATAAACATTAAAAAATAATAATAATTTATCAGTTTGGGTACTATCCAAATAAATGTCTTGGCAACTTAGCTTAAATATATACACGTCGACAAGAATACAGCTAACGCACTTAATAGTAACCCACCTGGGTTAAAAGTTCCCCCGACTGGCTCACGGGAGAAAAGCATCCTGTCCAACCTGTAGGCTCAGAGAGCGGCCACAGAAAGCACACTGTAAAACAGATAGTGGGACCCTGAGGCTAAAGTCTGGAGGTCCACCTTTATCTGTTGGTTCAGCTTATCTAGTGAGTTGTTAGGACAGGCGGAGAGCTTGAGGAAGACAGAGGGTGTCCTTCAATGTTTTCCTGTATTTGCTCTACTTGTTGAAGGATACAGTCATTAAGAATCCACCAAAAAGGAACATAAATACAAAATCTGCCGTTCGGCCTCGGAAAGAGCCTTCTTCTAGCATTCGACAGTAACGGTATCTTAGGGTTCCAAGTTAAGAAAACGTTAAGTGCACAGACGTGAAGAAAGTAAACTTTAGCGTATCCCTTCAGTCCACGTGGGCTCCGAGCCATCTGTACCCAGCCACGGCTTCGCTTCTGTAGGGATGTTCACGAGGGGCAGCGTGTTTCCCTCTCCACCAGGCCTTTCAGGCGGGCCAAGGCCGGCCCCACATTTTACACACGCTGCTTGCGACTGGGGAGCGAGGCCCGACGCTGCACAAACCCCCTTTTCCAATCAGTCCCGTACTTCCCGCGCGTGGCTGTGCCACGATGGGCACAAGCCTTGCGTTTTCACCACCTGATGGAAGAAGTGCCCGGCGAGAAGGCCTGTGTGATAATCTACTTTTTCAGGCCAGGCAGATGCAGCATTTCTGTACCTTAATCCAAGAAGAGACGTTATGATGGAAAAATTAATTATCAGCCACTTAGAACGAGAGATCCCACCCTAGGGCAGGGACCCCGTCACCCCTACAAGGCCCTCTGTCTCCTACAGGTGAGATGAGCTCTAACTCCCCTCTCGACACAGAGGGCCCCACGGAGAAGGGAGGCCCTGCTCAGGGGCCCCAGTTACCATCTGAGCACAGAAGGCCTTGTCCTCTCTTTCAACAACCAGATCGTGGCAGGCCGGGCAGACGCAGGGCACGGTCTTTTCAGCCAGCAGGGCTGGCGACCAACGTCCAGGGACACGTCATGTTAGCCCTTCCTCCCGAATCCACTCCCGAACCTGTAGCAAACCCTGGCAGTTGCCAGGGCATCTGGGCGCCTCGCCTACACCACCTCTCGTCCCCCTCGGTCTGATCTGTAAGTGACTGATGGGCAGAACGGGAATCACTTATGGTTAAATACCTCCCCTCGGAACAGGGACCGACCGACACCCTCAAAACATGACTTTCTGACCAGCTACTCTGTGTACCCCTGATCCAGGACCCAGAAGTTACAGCTAAGGTGGTAACAAAAATAACAGCATTAATAGCTTTAACTTGTTTTCCCTAAGTAAACCTAAAGTTTTCATGCTAACCCCCACTTAATAAAGGATACAGAAAAATCATGTTAAATAAAAAATTGAATCCAACCGGACCAAAAAATAAGAAATTGGTGATTAGCCTCCATATCTGTTAAGAGAAAAAAAATCAAGAGAAAAGATTAAGTAAAATATACCAGGAAACGTTTCCATATTAAGACAAAAGAGATATCCTAGGATTGCAATGGTTGAAAGGCCATGAATAAGTGATGCCACGGTCTGAGCCAAAGAGTGGGGCACACGTGATCGGACACAGGATTTTTGTGCTTCTAGCTGAATTCCTGGAAGATATCACTTGCCCCTGAAATCTGTAGGGACAACAGGACAGAAAACTTGAGACTGTCATTGTCTTATAAAAAAAAAAAAAAAAAAAAAAGCCCATACCATATGGTCAGGCAAATTATGGAAAAAGTTGGACCGAAAGACTACGTTAATCTGCAGAATAGAGAAGAGTGCTTTCATATGTGTTGGGTCTGACCAATAGCCTCGAGAGGCCGGAGAGAGACTCCAGAGATCTAAAATCGCCGAGAAACGTTTCTGTATTAGTGAGAACCGTCCAGAGGAAAGAGTAATTCTAAAGCAAAAACTCCAGTTCTAGTTTGAGTAAACGGCCAACTCCCTACAAGTAAAAACCTAATGCTCTAATAATTGGAGTCTAATCGGCAGAAACAAGGACACTAGCTTTCATGGTGGCCACCCTTTACTTTTCCCTACCCATCCACACCCACAATAAAGACGGCTACTCACAACGGGAGAGCGCTTCACTTTTCAAAATGTTTTAACACGGTCTATGATCTCACGTGTGGCGACAGCTGGCACGACCATCCCCATGTCACACACGGGGACACGGAGACTCGGAGGGCTTTCAAATGCCTTGCCCAGGGGAGCTGGACCAGGGAGACTCTGAAGTCAGACCTGGAACCCCTGACCCCAAATGCAGATACACGGTATCGTCAAGAGTTTAACCCCAGGCAAAACCAAGCCGAGCAAATGAACAGGAAGCATGCCTGGATGGAGCCACAGCTCCCAGCAAAGGCCAGGTGAGCAGTGAAGGATCAGTGCACGATGAAGGCAGGGACGGGAGTCCACGGGCCTGCTTTGCGCCTCATTAAATTCTTAAGGATTGGAAACAAAGTTGAAATAATTCAGTTCTGCACGCGAACTGCATCCAGGATCTCAGAGTCCCCAACTCAGCCAGGAGACAAGCATATAAGGAAGCACAAGTACAGAGCAAGAGGTGGAAATATTCACAGAGACCTATACACTAAACACCTGAGGGTTCACAGATATTTTTGTGAATATCATCTGATCCCTGGAAGACGGATCAATTTACTAAGAGAGGTGGGCTTCCGAAATGGACCACAGTGATGACCCCGAGGTGGTGAGTGGACAAAACAGGGCGTCCTGTGAGACTCTCCCTGGGAAGAGACCACCAGTCTACTCTCACACTACAATATTAACTCTGAACTGGTAATTTCTAAATACAGGAACTGGACACATCAAATCAAACCATTCAGGGAACTTTACAAATAAAATAAAGATTCTTCGGGGCGCCTGGATGGCTCAGTCGGTTACGTGTCCCCGACTTTGGCTCAGGTCATGATCTCATGGTTCGTGGGTCCGAGCCCCGCGTCGGGCTCTGTGCTGACAGCTCGGAGCCTGGAGCCTGCTTCCGATTCTGTGTCTCCCTCTCTCTCTGCCCTTCCCTCGCTTGCACTCGGTCTCTATCTCTCTCAAAAATAAATAAACATTACAAATAAAAAAATTAAAAATACAGATTCTTCATTCCTGCCCTTGCAGATTCCGATTGTGGTACATGATGAGGTGCCCTGAACATCTCTTCCAAGTTCTGTAGGTGATTCTGAAGCCCAGTCGGGGTGCAGAATCACTGCTTTATTAACCCCCCCACAGACAATAAGACTTAAAATCGAATATTGCCGCTGAATTCTTTTCAGATAGCATATGGAAAGATTTGCTACTTAAAAGCACAAAAAGCAAGTTTAAAACACTGAAACGTTAACTGTGGTTGTGATGCACGACTTACTTGAAAGTGTTTAAAGATTAATTCAGGATTGAAGTACAACTGAAAAGGTGTGATCAATTCCAACTGCTGAAAGAGAAAGAAAGAGCTTCTTAAGGCAAATTGATCAAGAAACAAAACATCTACAACAAAAGAGGAGGAGGCCCAGGATTTCCAACTCCCAGGTGCTTTGGCTCCGTCCGTTAAGGCTTTCTTAACGAGGGAGGAAGAGGCTGGTAAAAAATTCTGCTGCAGTGGCACAATTCTTTGTATCCCTCACGCCTAACGCAAGGATACAACTTGGTTTCATGTTGCAGTAGTCGAGGCTGACATGAAGGCAAAGGTGGCAGGTAGTGACATCTCAGACACGGGGCACGTTAGAACACCTGGCCACCACCTGAAACCGCTGTGCGCAGCACTCAGAAGAACCGAGACTGAAGACCCCGCCGCTGTGGGGGCCGGGTGCATACCGACAACCCCTAGGTCCGGACTCCCGTTATTTCAAGACTTTCCCCTCTCGACAACTTCCACTTTTCTGTCTTCCACGTCTAAGTTTCTTCACCGAGCGGACCCTCTCGCCACCAGCCACCACGGAAGCACCTGCCCATCGCCTGAGCTGAGACTCGTTTTCCAGGGTGGGCGGCTCCCGTAGCCCCGACCTGCTACAGGTCCGGCCTTCCTGTCTCAGGAACTGACCAGCAGCCCTGATCCTCAACCCCTCGTGGAGCAGCACTCCCTCCTCGGGTCACTGGACAGGCGCCCCCGGGGTCATCCTGAACCCCAGAGTGAGCCCCGTATGCCTTCCACCCACCCCCGAGACCAGCCCCTCTGGGCTTTCCCGAGGCCTAGACCCCAGTCTCCCGAGGCCCCGCTCGCATCCAGCGCGGACAGCGAGAAGCGGGCGCTGCAGCTGCTCACCACAGCGGCGGTGGTGAGGACGCAGGCGGTGGTGTAGGCGCGGCTGACCGGTGGGATCTGCAGGTACTCCAGCCGGAGGCTCTGGTACGCCATCTTCCCCACCGCCGCCTGCCCCCCCACTTCCCCTTCCGCCAGTCAGCCCCGGCGGCGGGGCGGGGCCGGAGAGGTCTGCCGCCCAATCAGCGCCGCGCGCCCGGCCCGCCACCAATCGCCAGAGCGCTGAGGAAAGCGCGCCGGCCAACCGCGAGTTGCGTCTCCGCGGGGGCCCCGCCCAGCTGCCCCACCCACCAGCCCACCAACGTCGAGGAGAGGCGTGTCAGTCCCGGTTCCTTCCACCAATCCGCGCCGGCCACAGCTGGCTTTCCCGCCCGGCCCCTTCCCGGGTCTGAGCGAGGCGCGGCCCCGCGCGGCCGGCCAATCAGGCGCCCGACGGCGTCCCGCCCGGGCTCTCGTTCGCCGAGGCCGGAATCCGCCCGTTGCCGGGGAGCCCGCGGCGCCGTCTCTCCGCGGCAGCAGGCGGTGGTTCAAAGGCGGTGGCGGGGAGCCGGCGCGCGGTCGGTTTCGCCACCCTCCCGCTCGCTCGGGTAAGGGCCGCGGGGCTGCGTCTCCTCCGGGGACCAGCGGGCAGGGACGGGGCCGCGCTCGGCACCACCGCCGGGCGCCCGCCCGCCGGGCCGCGCGCCGCCTGCCCCGAGATCCCGGCATGCCGCGGGGCCCGGCGGGAGGGGGCTGCGCGCCGGAAGTGGTCCCCGCCCGGCGGGGTCGGGGCTGCGCGGCGGTCCCCGAGCGGCGGAGGCGAGGCGGGCGGCCCGGAGAGAATCCCAGCCCTGGCGGCGGCTCGGAGCGGGTGCTGGGCCACGGCGCCCTTCCCTGAGGGGACGAAAACACCTCGGGGAAGGAAGGTAGCTGGGTTTGGTGGAAGAGAGTGGTCGGGTCCTGGCCGGCAAAGCGAGGAGCGTCACGGCGTGTTGGGGTGGCGGTCGGGAAGCAGTGACGGCTTCCGGAACGGGGAGTGAGCGGCAGGTGTGGTGGCGGATGACGAAGGGCCCGAGCGCAAGGCTGGGGAGCGTGGGCTGTCGCGGGGTAGGAGTGGGTACCGCACGGGGAGAACCCCCCCGGAGCAGATCTGCACACGCCGCGTTGCCCAGCTTTACCAGCGATCAGAGAAATCCGCATTAAAATAGTCTCCCCTGGGGGCGCCTGGCTGGCTGGGTCCGGAGAGCGTGCGACTCTTACTTTCCGGGAGGGGAGTTAGAGCCCCACGCCGGTGCAGAGAGGACTAAAGAATAAATAAATTAGCTTAAAAAAGTTAGTCTGCTCCCCAAGTACCACCCTCACGACCCTTTGGTAAAACCGTGCTGAATGTATTGCTTGCCCTGGTGGGGGTGGGAACCCCTCCTCGGACCTTTGGCAGTCGGTCTCTCAAAGGGATGACTGGCAAATTGGGAAAGTATTGAGAACCGCAGGGTTGGGTTAAGGTGGATCTTTCCGCCTGGGGGCTTGATCGGGATTGGGTAAGGATCCTGCCCTAACCGCCTAGCATTGGTGGAAACAACAGAGGCGAGGGTTTCAGAGAATCTCATGATGCAGATTATTGAGGTTTCCCGTTGAAGAGTTGATCCATCTTTTGGGGGGTTCATACTGCACAGTCAAGCCGTTTGAACAGTGAAAATATTCTGGTCTCCCAGGATAGTAAAGTCACGCTAATGTAAACAGTAAGGTGGGGGTGGGGAGAGTGTAGGTAGTTTCAGCCCTCAGCGCCCAGGCTGTGTGTGGGGGACGTACTTTTGGTTTTCACAAAGCCACACTCTAAAACATTTGGGCGCCTGGGGCGTCTGGTAAACGTCGGACTCTTGATTTCAGTTCAGATCATGATCCCAGGGTTCGTGAGATCGAGCCCCGTGTAGGACTCTGTGCTGAGTGTGGCACCTGCTTGGGATTCTCTCTCTCCCTCTCTGCTCCCTCCCCCTCCCTCTCAAAAAGTAATAAATAAACAATGTTACACCTACCAGATTGGCAGAAATTAGGATGTTGGATAGTGTCAGGTGTTGGTGAAGACATGAGAAATGTTCTCGGACTGCGAGGGGGGTGTGTCAGTCAGCCTGAACTGCCACCTCTGCCCCTCCCCCGGAGTTCTGGAGAACATTTTGGCGGTATTTAGTGGCATCAGCATGAGTAAGCTGCGTGGCCCAGCAACTACTTGCCTGTGTAAATAGCCTGCAGGTCCCCGGGGAAACATGATAGGAGGGTGTTCCTTACACGGTTAGTTCTGGAAGCAAGGTGCTGAGAGCGGAGTGGGCACGTCCAGTGTGGTTTACGTGTGTGATAGAATCGGTGGAAAACTTCGTCGGAACGCGGAGTGTGATGACGTGGCGTGGCTGCAGACGTGAAAACATAGCGTGCGTTTGTATACAAAACCACGTGTCAGGAATATCTGACACCTAGCACATCAATGACAGGGGGACTGAAAAAGACCTACGTTAAAACACTAGAGTAGGTTCCTCTGGGAGCTGAAAGACGGGAGAATCCAGTAAGGAAGGACCAAAAAGTGCCGTGAAATAGGAAATACTCCGTAGGCACGCCGAGGTCCTTAACCGGGAAGACAGCTGTTGGCGGAGGTCACGGGATGAAGGCCGTTGCAAGCCGTGTCCAAAGAGCTTGAACTTGGTCTGAAGGGAGGCGTTGGGGAGCGCGAGGAAATGGAAATCCTGCCAAGCCACAGCCCTCTCTACAGACGTGGGTGCGCATGTCCAGGTCACCATGCGTCGTGTTGTCTGTGGGTGGGGTTACAAAGGCAGAAAGAAATTCTGCCCACTTTATTTTTATTTTTTTTAATTTTTTTAATGTTTTATTTGTTTTTGAGAGAGAGACAGAGAGAGAGAGAGAGAGAGAGAGAGAGACAAAGAATCCGAAGCAGGCTCCAGGCTCCGAGCTGTCAGCACAGAGCCCGACATGGGGCTCGAACTCCCGAACCGTGAGATCGTGACCTGAGCGGAGTCGGACGCTTAACTGACTGAGCCACCCAGGCGCCCCAGAAATTCTGCCCACTTTAGGCAGTCCACCAGTTGAACACGATTTAGCCGTCATATAACACGAATTCTCGAGATTAACGATGTCTTCTCTTCCTATAAAAAAATTGGCCTGCACCATTTTTTAAATTTATTTATTTAAAAAAATTTTTTTAACATTTTATTTTTTGAGAGACAGAGACAGACAGAGTGCTAGTCGGGCAGGGGCAGAGAGAGAGGGAGACACAGAATCCCAAGCAGGCTCCAGGCTCTGAGCCGTCGGCACAGAGCCCGACGCGGGGCTGGAAGCCACAGGCCGTGAGATCATGACCTCATCCGAAGTCGGGTGCTTAAGCGACTGAGCCACCCAGGAGCCTGTGGCCTGCACCATTTGCTTCAAATTCTTTCATGAAGGTTCTCCCGCATTCACCTGGTAGTTGAGCTGGCCGTTTGTTTGAACTGACTGCCTTTATCTGAAGGAATGATGAGGCCGCTCCCGTTTCTAGAATAAGCGTATTGTACAGCTCGGAAAAGGGTGCCTTGGTTAAATTCCCGCAGTGCTGGGGCGGGGGGAGAGGGTCTGAGTGCTCTTTTCCTAGATGTTTACACTCGAAAGGAATGACCCCCAGACCCTTGAAAAATCAGGTCGTGGTTGTAAAGCTGACAGGAGGCTCAGTCAGCGGCAGCTGGGGCTTTCAGATGGCTGGGTTCATAGGACGGCGGGTGCGGGGCGGGGGGAGGTTGAGGACACCGGCAGGGGTGTGGTTGGAGTGCTGGGTGGCAGAGCCTAAGTGCAGTGGGTGGACCGAGCAAGGAAGCGGATCTCGGCACTGAGGGCCTTGAAGGCTGTGGTGTAATTTGATTACGGGAAGAGAGGAGTTGGAGAATGGCACATGAGGTCATGGTCAGTATGTGGGAGCAGCTGGGGAGGGGTTACCAATAGCAGCGGCCAGGTGAGAAAAGGGACGAAAACCATCAAAACCCAAGAAACAGAGTCTTAGGTCATCCGTCCAAATGTGAATGTCGCCCAGGATGGCAACAGTTCAGGAGACTGAGCCCCAGCCCAGAGCCCTGGATAATGAGGCGGGGGCGGTGGGAGAGCCTCCGGGAGGCCGGGTTTGTATCCTGTCGGGGATGAGCAGGCCGCATCAGGGCGCACAGACTCCTTAGGTTGTGTCGGCTTCTCCCTTGTGCTTGCTCACCGCTGTCTGTCATACACTCTGCTCCTTTCATCAGATGATTGCTTATCCAAATGGATTTTCTCCTGTTGACATTTGCAGATTTCTCACCGTGGAAATTAACACAGCAGAAGTAGCCAAGATGTCTGTGGATCCAATGGCCTACGAGGCCCAGTTCTTTGGGTTTACGCCGCAGACGTGCATGCTTAGGATCTACATCGCGTTTCAGGACTACCTGTTCGAGGTGACGCAGGCCATGGAGCAGGTCATCCTGAAGAAGCTGGACGGCATCCCGGGCTGCGAGATCAGCCCCGTCCAGATTCGTAAATGCACGGAGAAGTTTCTTGGCTTCATGAAAGGACGATTTGACAGCCTCTTTGGCAAAATGGAGCAGCTGTTTTTACAGTTGGTTTTGCGTATCCCGCCAAACGTCTTGCTTCCGGAGGATAAAGCCCAGGAGATGCATCCTTGTGGTGAGAAAGAATTCCAGCTTCTCCAGAGAGAAATTGAAGAGTTGCAGGAGAGATACAAGACTGAAGCACGCGCCCAGCAGGCCCTGCTCGCAGAACTGGAGGAACAGAAAATTGTTCAGGCCAAACTCAGACAGACACTGGCTTTGTTTGACGAGCTCGAGAATGCTGGCAGAGATCAGGGGACTAGTGATTTTAGGGAGAGCCTGGCGTTCCTGGTCCAGAACTCCAGGAAACTACAGAATATTAGGGACAGTGTGGAAAGGGAAGGCAAAAGACTGAAAGTATCTTAACTTCTAGGCAGTAACAGGACCCGTCAGTAGAGTCACAGAGGATTTATGTCAAGGATGAGTCTTACTCTCGTGAACCATACATTTCTCGGCTTTGCTTTGTTCGCGCTCTCTTGTACTCTGCAGCCCCCTCTTTTTTGGCCTGCTCTCCTGAGGTGTCCCCACACCCGCCTGGGCTGATCTCTGGAGCATCTGTCCGTCCCTGTCCCTCAGAGACTCTAGTAGGTGGGAAGGGTCCCTGGTTCAGTAACAACTCACCGCAGGGCACGACTGAGGAGGCAGAGCCGGCTTGGCCCGTCAGGGGTGTTTGTAAACGTTCCGCCTTGGTCATGAGTCCTGTGTGACCTTGATCCTTTTGACTCACTCTTTGGATGCGATCAAGTGAGAAAAGGGTTAAGTGGGTGGCTTCCTTATTACCCAGCCACTGCCCCTGGAGAGAGCCAGCACAGACTGCCTGCCCGTGTCCACCCCCGTGTCTTACGTGGGGAAGTTAGCCAAGGGACAGAAGCAAGCAGAAAACACACCCGTGATCTTTAGTAAAGAGGAAAGAAGTTGTTTTTGTTCCTAAAATAAATCCTTTCGTGATCAGGCTTTCGGTGACGGGAAACAGTTTGCTGTCTGGGAGCCCAGCCGTGGAAGACCGTGCGTGGACAAAGAACCGGCCGATCTCTCCGGAATAGAAAGGGAAGCCTGGAATGCAGCCAGGAGCAAGGTTTATATGAAATGACCGCTAGGTATTTGTATAATTTTTTCTCTTTACTTCAGTTAGTTTTGGAATCCGCGCTGTGCCTAATATTTAATTATCTTATTTATTCACACTCCTAAGCATCAAATATTTAGTTCCCACAGTGGGAAATTTTAGCTGTGTCTTGTGCTTAAATTTAGTGGAGTCTAATACTTTTCTTTTGTAACCCATGTACAGTGTCCTGTCCCCAGAGAAAGAGGATAAATAGTGCTACTTGCCTGCCACGTCTTCCTAAAGAACAGGGTTTGGAGTTTCTCCTTTATATGGAAGAGGAACTCAGGGCATTAATATTTGTGATTAAATATTCATAGATTAAAGATGCCTGTGTTTACCTGGAATATGTGTATCATCAAAGAAAGAGCCTTTTCTAGTCCTGTACATTAAATGCATATATTTTAAAGGCTTTGGTTTTTGATTTTTTGGTGTCTAGAATGTCATGATATATTTCCTTTTTCAGTATGACCTTCTACCCAAATGAAAATTTTCTATTTTTGCATTTGTAGCTTATTATTGCTATTCTTTTCTAAGTAACCTCTATGTCCAACGTGGGGCTTGAACTCCTGACCCCAAGGTCAAGTGTCGTGTGCTCCACTGACTGAGCCAGCCCGGTGCTTCATGCTTGTAGTTTACTTAAAATCTCCTAGTATAGAGGGTTAGATGGTGATTCCCCCCAGAGGCATGTCCGTGTCCTGATTCCTGGGACCTGTGACCGTGGCTTATTTGGAAAAAGGGTCTTTAGCAGGAATAATCAAGGATCTGGAGATGAGGGGAGTGTCCTGAAATATCTGCACGGGGCCCCGAATCCAACGACCAGTGTGTTTATTAGAGAACGGCCCGGGGAGATTTGAGACGAGACGAGGAGGCAGTGTGACCGCAGAGGCAGGTGGGAGTGATGTGACCACAAGCCCGGGATGCTGGCAGCCACCGCCGGCTGGCAGAGGCAGGGACCAGACCCCCCGCTAGAGCCTCCGGAGGGAGTGTGACCCCCTTGTTTTGGATTTCTGGCCTCTAGAACCGGAAGGGAGTGTGTCCCTGTTGTTTCAAGCCACTGGGTCTGTTACACGTTATGGTAGCCACGGGAAACTAATACACCTAATTAAACCAGCATATTAATGCTCGGAAGGAGGGAGGCTATTTATTGAGGAGACAGTGCCTGAAAGCTGGTGGTCCCATACGTGCAGTAAGAGGGTTTGTCTGAATGCTGTTAAAATATAGACGTGACCTGGACAGAAGGGCGAAGTCCACGGCGTTTAGAACTCAGGAGTCGTGTTACGTTGAGTGAGTGCTTTGCAATTGGCCGCTACTCATACCGTTTGCCACGGTAGCGTCTCAGCAGGTGCAGTCACCCACCTGGCCCCGTCATCCTCTAAGAATTCAATTCCTCCCCCAAAGAGTCAGAAGTAAATCAGGATAATAACCCACGCTTACCCACTCTGCTTCCCGGCCCCTCCCATCCAGCCTCCGTCTCCCCCCGTTCCCTGCTCCCCTCTACGCGAATCCCAACCTTCGGTTTCCTCGGACGCCTTCTCCCCTGCTTTCCTAGTACGTGTTCCCCCTCGGCGTCAGGCCCGTGCCCGCTGGGTACCCCCGTCCTGCTGCCGGGGCACCAGGCGGCAGGTAGACAGTTGGGCGCCGTGTTAATGGAAAGTAAAGAGCAGACATGGGTACCGTTGCAAGGTGGGGAAAGGGCGGTAGAGGGTCCCCGGATCGAGAAGGCTCTGAGACCAGAGAGCAGCAGGCGACCCCACACAGGTAACAGTTTCCTTCGGGGTAACTTACTGACGCGGGATCGGGCGGCCAACCGTCCAGCTGCCCGGCTCTTCTCGGCCACGTCTGGCCCTCAGTCCGCAGACTTTTACAGAGCAAGGGACGAGCGGTAGGGCCTCGTGGTGAGGTCACAGGGTTCACGTGCACCTGATGTACCGCCAACCTTTGATCAGATCACGTGGCGCCACCACCTGTACATCAGGAAGGGGAAAGACGTTAATCCCTACCATTCATGGGAGGCCGAAACAGACCTCCCCCGATCCTGACCTGGGTGGGCGTTTCTAAGGTATGTGTATTAACCTCCACGGGGCCCGGAACACGTGGCCGCAAGAAGGGTCGTGGGGCGAACACTAGCAAGACGGAGGGATGTTGTCAGCCTGCCTCCGACTACCGACCCCACATGAGGGGCGGCCAGGTAAGACGTTCCGCACTCGGTTCCGGTGCGTGTATGCCGGCACGGGATGGCGGGGTCCCCATACCATCAAGTAACTTTTGGACACCACCTGGGTCTCCTACAACTCAACTCAATTCTGACCGTATATACGCCGTGGTAACATCACATTCACCAGTCCAACGAGGCTGCCCCCTCGTCAGATGCCAGCCACAAGCCCAGGTGGTTAGCCTCTGCTTCTGACCAACTGCCTGTCAGTCACAGGTTCCCACGACCCCCTCCTCGGGCTCAATTTGCTCCAGTGGCTCTCGGAACCTGGGAGACCTTTTTTTTTTTTTTTTA